GCCTGGGAGAGGGGCGGGTTCTCAGGGCCTCAGCTCAGACCAAGAATCGGGAACTCTGGGAGCGGGCCCCAGAATGTGTGTGTGTGTGAATTCATATTTTCTCTGTTCATGACAGGGCATGCGCATGCACAGGACAGAGAGAGCGAGAGGGACAGAGACAGACGTGGACGAGCATCCCCCACAGCGTCTGGTTATGCCGCGACCCCTCCACTTCTGCGGTCCACTGCATTTGGGGCACTCGAAGTGTGCCGGCACATTCCACGCTGACCGGCCGAGGGACAGCTTCTCCTGGACAGGCGTCACGGCTGCGCCATGGGCCAGCCCCAGAACGCGCGTCTCAAAGAGCCCTTCCCAGGAGCTCCGGTGCAGCTTACTCCAGACCACCGGCGAGCGATCGCGAGGGTCCCTTCAGGCAAAGCAAGAGCCTACAATCTGGCTAGACCCATCCGCTGTCACCGCAGACCTTCCCATCACTTCCCATGCTTAAAAACAGGGACGGACTTCTGACAGGGCCGTTAGAAATACTGACAGAGCAGGGACGAATGGCAGGGGAGAGGGGAGAGGGAGGCAGGGGAGAACAAAAGGAAAAGAAGGAAAATTGGCCAAGGGAGGGGCAGTTAGATGGGGAGGACAGGGGCCAGCAGTGACGTGGTGGCCGACGTGCTGGACTCCAAGGCCGTCCCGGTTCGAGTCTCGGACCTGGCGGCTTGCTCTCTCACTTTCCTCTCTCGGGCACAGCGGGCACCCAGCCACCCTCCTTTCCGCCCAGGCCTCTGGGCACCAGGGCGGCCCCCTCCTGACAGAAGGGCCAGTACCCCTGCCGGGCGCTGCCTCCCCCCTGCTGATGCTGCAGCACCCCGCCCCCCGCACTCTCGGCTTAGAGAGGGAAAAACCTGAATCCACACTGCGACGCCCGCGAGGTTATGATTACTTGGGCCCATCAAGAATAACCTTCCCACTTTATCAAGCACTGTGACAAAACCGCCACAATCAGACAGTAGCCATGGCAACCAGGACAAGCTTTGGCGCCTCACAAAGCCCTGAGTGGCAGAAAGAAGTCCTTTCATTGGCGGCTGTACCCCAGCCGGGGCTGCGCTGCGGGCACCGGGGGCTGCCAGACAATGCGGCCCTGCTGCGGCCCGACCCCCGTGGGCAGGCCTGACCCGGCTGCTTCTGTTTTGCTCCATTTTATTTTATTTTGTCACTGTCTTAAAGGAAAAAACAGCAGGACTTCTCCCAAACATTGTCCCCCCTCAGGGTAGGAGATGTCACTGGGGGGGGTCATGAAGGCAGACGGAAAAGGGGAAACTCGGTAGCACGTGTCACGTGTCCCTGCCAGAGCCCAAGTGCCAATTTCTGGCCATCACACGGCACTGACAAGACACAGATGGCAGGGCGAGGGCGGCGCCGCCAGACTGCCCACGCCGGCTTTTTGGGCTGGACTGAATGAAGTTCACCGCGGTCCTGCCTGTCAGCACAGAAAGCAGGAGGCATTTCTCAAACGCGCGCCCCACGCCGTCCGCGCTGGACGTGTCCAGGCCATTAGCTGGGGACGGTGCTGGGGGACACCGGGACGCGAGGCTCTGGCTTTGATCTGCTTTTCCGTGACACTTCAGCAAGGAGAGACGAAAGCCCCACAGCACTCAAAGCCGGCCCGCTCAGCCACGGCGAGGGGAGAGGCGTTTCTTTCTGGGAGCCGGAGCAGACATTTTAATTAGCTCTCTACTCTCCTGCAGTGGGTGCATCATCTCCCACCACACCTGGGGCGCTCAGAAAACGGAGCGTGTCCTGCGGTTTCTCAACTCGTGTGAAAGGCATTCACTGGTGTTTATGGCCCTTTGTGCCCTACACTCTCTCCAGTGGCTGCAAATCAACTAGAGACACAGACATGCAAGGCAACCCTCCCTCCCCTCCGAGACCAGGACACCCGAGTGCAGAGCCCACTCAGAAGCGCACTGGTCTGGGGGTCGTCTTCAAGGTCACCTGTGTGGGCTGATGCCTAGGAGGTCACGCGATGGCCCAGGGAGAACGTCGGGTCTGGAATGTCAGCTCATTCTCTGTTTTCCCCGTTTCAGTCTCTGGACGGCATTTGGGAGAAAAGCAGCTTATGAGGAAATACTTGCTCCTTCTCCATGACTGTACATGAAGAGAGGAATCCAAAGTCCCATGTCTGAAAGATGTGGCTGCATACCTGCAATAGGGACTAGCAACGGCCTGCCATGCTCCGGACACCCAGGGCAGGAAACAGGAACGCCCGACACTCAGAGTCAGGGCGTGCTCACACCACGACGCTACTCATCCACTGCAGGTGCTCGGAGCGCCGACCCTGGGAAATAAGGCTTAGCGCTCCCAGACACTCTTCTCTTCTCACTGTGTTCCAAACGCTTATGTTGTCATTGTAATAAAAATCAGGACCAGCAGGTAGCGAGGTGGTTAAGGTGCTGGACACTCTCACATGGCTGACCACGGTTTGAGTCCCAGACCTGGTGACTTGCTTTCTCACTTTTCCTCCCCCTCTCTCTCTGGTTAAATTAAAATAAATGAATGAATAAATAAAAATTAAATAAAATAATTCTTAACTAACTAAATAAATAGATAAAATCAGTGTGTGTGTTGCTACCGCTCTGTAAATACTGCTCAATTCGGGTCAAGCATACACTAGGACCGTACGTCCGTATGTGGGTAATGCTTTGCTTCTCCTGGGGTTAAGTGCGACCTCGGTGTATATTTTAAAATCTGCCTGCTTGTACCTGAGCCATCACTAACTTATCCCACATGCTGCACTACCTCGGTCTCATGCCCATCAACAAAGATCCCGTGTGCCCAAATATATTACTGGGTTGCTGGAAAAGTCACGACACATTTTTGTATAGAAAAACATAGAAAAAAATACATCATGATTCTCCTGACAACCCAAGAGTTCCACTTCTCTCCACTGGACTCATTTCTGGAGCTTTCTGAACTCCTGCTCCAATCTGGCAGGGCTGCTGTCCACGCCGGGGGCCTGCCCACACGGGTGCCTGTGGCTGGTCGGTTCTGTTCTTGTTTCCTTCTTGTTGTGCTGGAGCACGTCCCCAGTGCCGCTCCGGAGCCAGTGCCCCGGAAGTCAGCTGCATCCCCACATGCCTAATAACTACACGGGACAATACGTGCAGCCCTTACTACAGGCAGAGACAAAACACCTCTTAGAAATTGTTAAAAAAACTCTCATTTTAAAATGAACAAAGCTGTGAAAAGTGATCACAGAAAAGGAAATTCAGATGGCCACTAGGCACAGAAAAAAGCAGACGTCCATAAAAGAAATCCAAATTAAAACTGCCCTTACACGCTATTTCTCCACCTCCAAGACTGGTAAAAAGCCACGAGTCTGAAAACCCGCGTTGTTGACAAGGCTGTGGGGCAGCGAATGTTCCGACATGGCTGGGG